ATATTTTTTTAAGTGATTAGTTTCAATGTTCAGAATTCTGTATTAATTTTAAAAAATTACCATAAAATATTGAATAGAGTACTTCGGTATTCATGTTTTGGCTTTGTTTTGAACGTCACTACGGCGTGTAGATTTGTTATTTATGATATGTCTCTATACTAGATAACTTTTCAATTGAAAGTGAGATCAATGATCATTCATGATATGATATGTCTCTATACTAGATAACTTTTCAAAATTTTTTTTTATTGAAACCTTCTAAGTTTGTATTTTATCTATTCCAATGTTAATCAATACTCCAATTGATGGAGCGGTTTGACACGATTATTGTAGTGGTTTGCTATGTTTAGATGAACTGGATTAAGAGGGTGTGGTGAGAATTAAAATTAGATTTTTAGTGGATTGTGATAGAAATTTTTGAAACGTGTGGTTGAAAATACGTGGAATCCATAAAAGATGTGGTTATTATTGATTTTTTGACTTTAACTTAGATTAAAATCAGATTTTAATCCAACCCAAGCAGACCTTTAAGGTAAAAGTGATGAAATGTGTTATTATCTCCTACAGGGCTATTTCGATGGAAACTTTATCATGGAAACAAAGTCTTTTGAGTCAGGGTAAAATCTATCATTAAAACGAGTGATGTAATTATTCTAAGCAAGTTTATTTCTATAAGATTCATCACTTAGTGTTGCAATCAAGGTTCAAATTATCATGGTCCAACTTCTTGCCTTTCGAGTACAAGAAATTTCTTTATTTTTAATATTATTTTAATTTTTAAATTTTTTTTAATTAGTTTAGAGCCTAGACAAGCCTTAGGCACACCTTTTGGCTCCTAAACTCGCAATATAAGCAGTTTCTTTCTCACGTCTCTGTCTCCCTGCCTCGCGCACCTTTTAAACATTGGTTGCAAGTGAGTCACTCATATTTCAATTCAAATTGTGTAACCTCATCTCATCAAGCTAACATTTAATTGTGTCTCATCAAATAACACAAATAATTTTTGGCAAGTAAATGGTAGCATAAAAGACAATATTACGAGCCTCTCTCTCTCCTCATCTCTAAAAACGAGCGTGCACCTCTTGTAATAGTGCTACAATATCACTCAAAATAGAAACATTCAGAACAATATTATCTCTTTCTTTTTTGTTGGCGAAAAAGTCACACTCGACACTTCGACTATTTGCCATCTCGTGAGCTAATACAAATATGTAAGACTTTAACAGAAAAAAATCATTAGAATTTCATCAGAAAAGAGACAGCAGTGGGTCCCACCGTGTATTTAAAAAAGAAAAAAAATGCACGAACCCGACCCTTGTATGAGTGTTCTGTTGCATTTTTGGTGTTTTTGTTTCTGTACGTGCAGCACATTTGTGTATGTAATTCCACCGTAGTTTGTCCTTTGAACACTAATTTGCTTTCGTGGCTAGATATTATTGGGCAGGAAAGATATTGACACGTCCAAAGTGCAAAACAAAGAAAATACATATTAAATTAAGCAAATAAATAGATAAAAAATAAATATAAAGTCCATTGCATCTGCAGAGCCGAGACGAAGAATCAAAGATGGCGGAATTGCCCGAAATCCTGGCCTCGAGCTCTACTTCTTCTGGTCATAATAAATCTTCTGAAGAAGTAGACTCTCTCAATAAGCAAGCGCAGGTTGGTGTCCCCTTTTCCTTCATTTTTTTTTTCTCTCAATAAGAATCGAAATGCTATTTAATTCTAGTTCTTTTTATGGATTTCTACAGTTATAAAAGATTGTGCATCAGATGGATGTATCGTGTTGCCTTTGAAATAGATTTTTTTTTTCTTGTTGGATCGGAGTAAATGTTTACATAAAAGTCACATGTAATAGTTTAGGTTTTAATTTTGATAGTTGAGATTGCATTTTTTTTTGTTTGGTGTATGAATTCGTGATGTCTTCGAACTATTATATAACTACGAAGAAAATTTTAATTGGGTTGTGCATGTGGGAAGTTTTTAGCTTGGTTGGTATTTGATGTTAATTTCTCAATAAAAATGCATTCTGGTGTTCTAGGCATTATACGATGGATGGTTTTTTCCACATGTCTTTGTTATTTGTGAAATTTAAGAAAATAGGGTTTTGTTGGCTTTTTGAACTGATTGAATTTTGATAGTCTTCTAGCAATCTTTCCATGACTAATGGCTAGACGAAATTGATTTGCTTCAATTATGCTCTATGATGAACATTGTTAATATGTAACATTATTTAGTACTATTGAAATATATTGTTCTATTATTGCTTTGTTCTGTTGAATATTTCCTTCTGTAGAATAGAGTGGAGGAACTAGTGTTGTGCGGGTTGCTAGAATTCCATCTTCTGTTTATAATAAATAAAAGTGCATCTGAATTGATCTCATCTTTTTAAGAATTTTAATTTTTCTTTGTTGATCATTTTGGGGCATACTTATATCATGAGGAAATGGATGTGAAAGTTTTCTGCATTGGGAGGATTGCACGTGTCGGTCTTTCCAAATTCTGATTTTGTGCAACTTGAAGTTGTTTTATGAAGGGGAAGTGCCAAATTATGTATATTCATTAATTTCTCTAAGGACGACATTAAAGATCAACTGTTAATAGAAATGCCTTTCATGCATTGCCTTGTTTTGAAGGCACGTGCGGAAAGACTTTTTATAACTTTATCATATAACAGAAGTGAGTTCTTGGAAGATTTGCTCTGGTTTTTGTAGTTGTTAAACTATATAGCATGAAGAAAATACCTATTATAGTGGAATCCTTCTTGTGCATGAAAGAAGATGCTTGTAAAGGATTTTTTTCAAATCCCACGGTCTATTTTATGCAGTCTCAAATCTTGAATTTCTCCATGTGAATGGTGTCTTTATTTCAATATGAAGGATTGGATACTCGTAGTTGGTAACTTGGTATCATACATACAACTTTTATTAGATTTGGCCCAGTTTTTGATCCAGCCAAATATGGGGTTAGCTGGGGCATTGGTTCAAGAGGTCCGAAGTCTAAAAACATCTATCTAAATAAAAACATCATGAATAAGCAATGTTTATAATTCTCAATTGGGTAATGAGGCGTTTTACCTCTTTGAGGTAAAGGCGTGGCCATAAGCCTCAAGACAAAACTACTTAATAATTCCGAAGATTATAAAAATTAAAATATGTTCCAAATGAACCAAGAACCATTTGAAAATCAATAATAAAATAAATTAACAAAATTAAAAGTCTAACTTGCAAACCAATATAAAACAGATTACTAAATTAGTAAATAATAAGTTAATAATTAGTTATCTATATAACATTGAAGGAAATATGGCTCGGTCAAAACAAGGCTGCTCATTAGCTTCAAGGTCTCATCTTTGAATCTTGTGCACAGCAATCTAGATTCCTAATGAAGATTTCCTGAAAAACTCTGGTTTATTTAAAAATCCTCTGGTGTTGGACTGTTTTTGGACGGGTATTGAATTAAACCGCCCGAATTGGCTTCCCAGATATGTCGCTGGTGACTGGTTTTCACAGCGAACCAGCCAATCCCATTTGGCTTTAATAACGGATACAACATGTTTAGAAAAATGATCTGAAAATAGATTTCGGAATCTCTTTAGGCTTATTTTGAATTTGAGAATGGTAAATAAGGGAAAGGATAAACATTCACAATCGTGTAAGTTTAATGTCTGTTCCATGTTTATAAGTGCTATTATTGATACTTGTAGAAATCACCTATTGTGGCAACTGGCAAGTTGTCCATGAATGCATATAAATTCCTGTAGTATGTGTCGATGGACCAGTTTCCTGATTTCAATTGTTTTGAGCTAATTCCTTGCATTTGTTTCTACAGGTACCAGCATTACGTGGCTTACAATCAGCAAATGGTGACGTTCAGATGTTCCCATTCATGTACCCTGGACTTGTTCCTCAGTTATTTTCTCAGCAGGACCAGGAACAGATGAATCGTGGACCTGGCCTTTATGCTGTTCCTGTTCTACCATTCGCACAGCCTAATTCTGGATTTCCATCCAATACACTTATTCCTTTTACCTACAATGTACCTGTGTAAGTATTGCTGCCACCATTTTTTATCTGTTATTTTAGATAGTTAACTTCTATAATTCATTGGGAAGTATTAGGAGGAAAAGGAATCCTTGCTAGTACATATTATCCCACTTTTGTACTGAAGGTTAATGGTTGCAAATTTTACTGTAATCCTGATCTTGTGTATCACTTTCGTGGATTATGTTATATGATTTAAAGTTTATAATTTGTAACCAAATAAGCATTGATCATAATGCATGCTTGAGATGGGCAACACAACTTTTTTTTCTCTATATTTTCACGTGGTCTGTACACTGACCTTTACGGCCTGCTTGGGAGTTTCAACATATCAGTTTATATTTTTTAAGTGACTTTTTGTCTTATTAATAGTATTTTTATTTTATAAACAATTTTTTTTACATGCAAGTATTTTTTACTT